TTTGGGGTTTAGGGTTTAGGGGATCTGTAAGGGATCTACCAAGTGACCTATAAGGGTTCCTGAAAGGAGAGTTCTGGAAGGGACTTATAATAACGGTTCTTTGAACCATGGTTTCCAGAAGGGATCTATAGGATACACCCAAGGCTTAGGGTCCTGGGTTCGTTGCTTTCCCTAAACCCTAATACCCCAAAAGCGAGGACCCATGCCTGCAGAATCTTTTCGCGAAGGATTTAGGACCGTGGGTAGGATCCGATATTGAGCAAACCTTGAGGGCCTTAGAGTAGTCCCTATGTCGGTACTTTCGGGCCAAAGTACATACCATTTGGGTGCACGGACCCTTAGGGAAATGCAGCTGCCCCAAAACAGCTACTGTAGTCTTTGTAGAGAGCTAGGCTTGACCCTAGACCCTAAGCCCTAAACCCTAAATCCTAAACCCTAAACCCATTCCCCTTCAATGCTAAGTCCTGTACACCCCAAACCATAGGAACCCCTTTCGGTTCTTATACACCTGCCACCCAATCTTTGAACCAGAAAAGCAGAGACCCACTCACATCAGGGGGTTTAGGGTTTAGGGTTTAAGGTTTAGGGTGTGCAGTTTACCAAGGCCCTGCGTGGGAGATCTTGTTCCAGGCACAGCCCAACCCTGTAACCCGTGCCCGCAGATATGTCCTTCAAGGGTAGGTTTTGCACGTCCATGGGTTTAGACGATTAAGTGCTGCACTGATGGGCCTAGGGGGTGAGGGTGGAGCTATGGACGTTCTATCCACGAACTCGGGTACTCGGGGGTTGTGTTTGCTCTAACCCTTAAGCCTACGTCCTTGAATCCTAAACCCTTTAACCCTTTACCCCTAAACCCTGAACCCTAAACCCTAAACCCCTAAATCCTAAACCCTGAACCCTAAACTCTGAACCCTTAAGCCTCAAACCCTTAAAGCCTTAGCAAGTACGATTGCATCGGTGGTGTGGGTCTATGAGAATACTGTTCATTCACTTCATAGTATGGTTAACCTACCATTTTTTGGGGGGTGTTCCTGATTATAATTACCCCAACACCCTACTCTAATTATTAAACCCTAAACCCTAAACCCTAAACCCTAAACCCTAAACCCTAAACCGCTAGAATGTGTCCCTAAACTCCATGAAAAGCTTCTGTGTTGGGGTTCTAGGCCTTAGGACTGAATCTTTGGGGGGTTACCGGTTTAGGGTTTAGGGTTTAGGGTTTAGGGTTTAGGGTTTAGGGTTTAGGGTTTAGGGTTTAGGGTTTAGGGTTTAGGCGGTTGGTGGATAGTGTCGGGATTCGTGCAGTCATGAAGGCTTTAAAGATGAGGTTGAAGCCTTAGATTCTGGGGTTGCCCAGGGCCTTCGGGTTTTAGATACCCAAACCCTCAACCCTAAACCCTGCTAAACC